TTAAGTATCTTTGCTATTATCTTTGCTGTATGTGCAATAAGGCTTATTGTGCGATGGTCGCTGCATTTTGTAGCTTTTGTCTTTTTCTTTAAGGCAATCGTTGTAACTTCTGTAAAGTCCTTGGGCCACTCTCCACTTTCATATATGGTGTTCATTAGTTTTGTCAGTGTTTTCAAACCACCTTCTCCCAGTAACTTGAGCACATCTCCAGGTACATCATCATCTCCTGTAGCCTTTCCCTTCCTCATTTCCTTGATAGCTTTTTCCACCTCACTTTGTAAAATATATGGTCCTTTCTCGTCTGTATCTACTTCTTCTTCCGGTTCAACTTCTAAGGTTTCTGGCCGATAGTATGTTATTGGAAATCTGATTGCCTACTTTCCTTGATATGAAAGCACAATAGATCACTGTAGGTTGCGGTGTAAGGGCCGAGAAGGCCCACCCCTTCTACATTCATTCCTTGATACGACACGGACCACATAGAAAACGACGCGTCTAACAGTTCTTCTATTGTTGCGCGTGTAATCATTGCCGCGGTAACGCTTTTACCGATCCCTTGCCTAGCAATGAGAGGGGACAGAGACTGATGGGAGAGATTTATGAAGTACGCCGTTGAGATGGGCTCAGGCACCATGACACATCTACCAAGTTCCATAAAGATTGGTTCAGGTATTCAAAAGTTATTTGGGGGGGGTTTACACAGACACACAGACAGCATGGGGATCGCATAGGCCTACTCTGTTTCTTTTTCAAAATAAGGTAAGTAGGCCAGAAAAATTAAACGATATTAGTGTTATAAATCTTTATAGTAGGAAGAAGTTCATATTTTGAAAGTATTTCCTGCTTCACAGAAAACATTTTCCTTGAAAGTTTAGTCGGTTAATGTAACGTATGAGAACAATCACTAGCGGTAGGTATAAAATACTAGGATTTTTCTCAAAGGATGTCCGCCTCTGTGGTCTAGTGGTCAGAGTTCCTGGCTACAAATCCAGAGGTCCGGGTTCGATTCCCGGTGCTACCAGATTTCCTGAGAAGTAGTGGATCTGGAACGGGGTCCACTCAGCCTCGTGAGGATAATTGAGCTGTTTCAAGGAAATAGCGGCTCTGGTCTAGAAAACGGAGATTAACGGCCTTGGGGATCCGTTGCGCTGACCACGCGACACCCTCTAACCGCTAAAGTTGGCACTAACTTCGTCAACAAGCGGCGGTCGCTCGGAATGTATAGTTCTTTTGCGGACTCAAGCCACGGATTTTTTTTGTCTGATATGAATATGACCGATAGTTCGCTTGCGGACTAAAATCACGGAGTTTGTTTTTTATATGAATACGATGGGAAGCTTGTCCGAAGAAGCTGCATTCCTTCGATGTATTTCCGACCGACCCAAAATTTTCTTAGAAATGTGATGAAATTCGAACGTTGTTTGGTAACACAGTATGCGCCCCACACATTCTCTTTTAGACTTAATTTATTTCTGTTACGAAATAATGTTTTCTTAGAACGATAGACCATATCCAGAGTCAGGGTCAGCAGTCCGAGGTGACTGTGACAGATATATGATCCAACCTTGCGGCAAATGTTCCTGCGGAATATCAAAATGTTGAAAACATATGACAGGTGTTCATGGCTACATGGCTCTGTAGTGTGGGAGCCACGCACGCCAGCTTATTTGAAATTGTAATTCCTGGTGAACTTCATTACTAAATTTCGAATTATTATTATTATTATTATTATTATTGGATATTATTGGATAAACTAAATCTGCAAACCTTGGATGTCAGACGGCGTCATATTGATGCTTTGTTTTTAATAAATGTTTTTAGAGGCACAACATATTGCTCCTCTGTCCTTGATGCGGTCGGTTTGCGGGTTCCTTCTCGGAACATTCGAAATTTTTCTACATTTAGCTGTTCTTTCAGTCGCTGTCCCACAGCTAGATGTGTTGTTGCTGCAAATTTTGTTTGCGAACTTGTAGACATTTTTAGTAAATCTAGTTTAAGTTTGAATTGTTTAGTTTGATAATTTTTGTACTTTTGGTTGTTTTTTACTATTTGCACTGTCTTTTTAACTTGTCACTGGCTTTTGAGCTAAGTATGCAATTAGTTTTTTGCTGTTAATTGTTTTTAATTTTCCAAATACTTAACGTTTTTGACCTGTTATTATCTATGTGTGTATTGTCTTGATTTTTATTATTGTCTGTTGTTTGTTGTTTTATATTTTCCGTGCTGACTCTGTAATTGGCCTCCGCTGTTGAG